ATTATACTAGCTTGTTCTATGCGAGATACTAAAAAGCATTTGTCCAATATTTATATTATTAAAAATAACTAACAAATTCTTACTAATTAAAATCTATATGAAATTAAATATATTCATTATATTAATCCAATATATAATCTATATATATATAAAAGTAAAATCCTCCTATTTCATTTTCCCGCTCAAACTTTTGTTGTAAAACTTATTTGGTAACCAAATGTAAAATAGAAATTAATTAAAATTTATTAATTGATAATATTGTTTCCATATTCACGTATTAACCTAATTGGTAAATCTATTAATTGATAATATTTTTTCCTTATGTTCATTTATTCATTCTTTTATATTGAGTAATTATATATAGAGATATAGATATGTATACTATTATACAACTATTACGGCTTCAATGTTTATTCTTGCCCAGGATATTTCTCCATTGAAGACTTGCAGAGCTATTAGACTGCAATTGGTGCGCACCTATATGAAGTCACATAGAGAAAGGGGAGTGAATCCGTAAAATCTAGAGAGTGCATGTTTCACGATCAAGAGGTTTTTTTTTTTTTTTTTTTTTTTTCTTTCAATTTTGCTTTTTTATACGACTCCAATGTTTATTCTTGCCTAGGATATTTCTCCATTGAAGACTTTCAGAGCTATTAGATAGTGATTGGTGTGCACCTATATGAAGTCCCATAGAGAAAAGGGGGTGATTTCATAAAATCTAGAGAGTGCACATTTTCCTATCAAATGGTATTTTTTTCGATTTTACTTTTTTCTAGAACTCGTGTTGTATATGAAATTGGAAAAAAGATGCATTACAAAGCTGCTTCCTATACTGCAAAAATAAATTACAAAATAACAATTTTCTTTTTTACTTCATTGTAGGGAACTTCATGCTCATATACCAAGGGAACATGTTGGTAAGTACTGTAAGCTTTTCAAACAATGAAAAGTTTATGCTATTAAAAATTTTATGGTGATAAGTAATTTCTATATTTTCAAAAAATGCACTCATTATTTTATGTTGTAATTTCACTATGCTACTTTGGTTAAATAATATATAAAAAAAAAATGACAACTTTTCTAGACAAATTTATTTATTGAAATCATTTTCATCTTTGAAGTTTGTAGATGATAAACAATTCGTTGGTAAGTTTCATTTACAATTTTAATCTACATCTGAATTTTTTTTTTATTAACATGTTTGACGTTATTGGTAGGGTCGTTGAGATATACTCCCCATTGGATAAAATCATTGCAGGGAAGCCTTCTTAACTTATTGATTTTCTAATTGTATGTGGATACAAAGTAAATTATCTAATTTTGTTATTTTTATTGTATTTTGTATATGTATTTTTTATTAAGTACTCCGTAGTTTATTTGTTTATAGGGACAATCAATTGAAAGCTACAGTGTGGGATCAACATATACCAAGGCCAAGAGTTGAAACCGTATTTATTTATTTATTTATTTATTTATTTTTAAATTTTGGCCTTGCAAATCCTATGGTTGTTCTTATGCAATTGTGTAGAGTTAAGAATGATACGAAGAGTTAATCTAAACACAAGTGTTTTAATTTTTCTTTATATTTGAAAGTGTTTGAATAAGGACAAGTAATGAATGTTCTTTTTGATTAGCATGTCAAGATATATAACTCTTGATACACAGTTCCTTTTCAATCAGGATTTCCAGAGTTCTGTGATTTTTTGGAAATGTAAATTTATTATGTCTTAATCATTATCATAAGGTTTTTATCATTTATTTTTGTACATATTTTGTTTATGATTGTCATTTTTTTTTTCAGTTTATGTGTTGATTAGACCCCTCTAATAAAAATTATGGATATTTATGAGATGATCGAGGTAAACAATAGCAACAATTTTTTTTTTAAATTGATGCAGTGGCAACAAATTAGAAAATCATCTTTTGCCACTTTTTAAAATAATTTATTAGTATAAATTGTCACACTTTAAAATGTATTTTTAATGTTAATAAATAAATTAGCTTAAAATAATACATTAAAATCTAAAGGATAATCAAAGTATAATTTAAAGTATAAAATAAACCCAAAGTTGTACATGTTTGCAAAGTGATGGAGCACTGTAATAGTCTTAGTGCATCCAAATAAAGGCATCATTTAACTGATTATTTCTTTCTTATCTCACACTAAAGGTTCAATACTGCAGATATATATAAAGTATTAGTAATAACATTGGTACTGCTAAATGTGTATATAACTAATTATTTATTGATTTAAGATCAAAGAGTGCACTATATGATCTTCCAGATATATTAATTATATTCTTTAATATAATAATATTTTTGGTAACATTATTGTTTGCAAATTCTCCGTATTTTTTTTTATATATTTATAATAACGTGTAGAAAAGACATTAATTAATTAGGTAATAACATAATAGCATAATTGGTAATATTATGTATGGTATTACCGTGTAGAATTTTTGGATTTTATCACCAACTAATTTAATACAACTTATTTTGTAAGCAAATGTAAAGTAGAAATCAACTAAAATCTTAGTAATATTGTTTCCATATTCAATGCTCTCACGTAACATAATACCCTATATAACAAATTTAAACAATTTATAATATAGCCAATTCATCATATATGTATGTTACAACCTCACGGTCAAATCTATACTATAATTAAAAACAAAATCATATTTACTTGATTTCCTGTCCAAACAATAGTAAATAGTAAAGGTAAATTAAAAAAAATGAAAAAAAAGGAACATAAATATTTCACAATAATATTCTACATCATCAATTAAAAATGGAATGGAAATTAGGTAAATTGGAAAAAGAAATGAATATTAATAATTTACTAAAAATTAAAAATGAAAAAAAAAAAAGAATTGAAGTTAGGTTAATTGGAAAACGAAATGAATATTAATAATTGACTGAAAATAAAAATGATCCATAATTGACTAAAATGGAAAAGGAAATGGTCAGATCATTGCATTTTAATTTTCACAATAATATTATACAGTATAATACATCAAATCACAATTATGTCATAAATCTTTCACAATTTTAAACAATGAAATGAAAATTAAAAATAGAACAAAAATATTTTAATAATAATATTCTACATCATCAAGTAAAAGTAAATTAAAAATGAAAAGGAAATATTTAAATAATAATATTCTACATCATCAATAGTAAATGCATATTTTAAATAATAGTAAAGGTAAATTAAAAATGAAACCGGAATATTTCAATAATAATATTCTACATCATCAATTAAAAATAGAACGAAAATTAGGTAAAAATATCACTGTATCTGATATTCTAATTGACTAATTGAATGAAAATTAAAAAAAAAAAGAATAATTGGCTGAAAATGAATATGACATTACAAATTGACTGAAAATATAAAAAGAAATGAATACTAATAGTTGACTGCAAATAAAAAATGATCCATAATTGATTAATATGAAAAAAATAAATGGTTAGATCATTGCATTTTAATTAAAAATGGAACGGAAACTAAAATTTGACGAAAATATTTCAATAATAATTCTACATCATGAATAGTAAATGCATATTTTAAAAAATATTAAAGATAAATTAAAAATGGAACGTAAATATTTCAATAATAATATTATACATCATCAATTAAAAATTGAACAAAAATTAGGTAAAAATATCACTGCATATGATATTCTAATTGACTAATTGACTAAAAATATAAAAGAATAATTTGCTGAAAATGAATTTGATATTACTAATTGACTTAAAATATCAAAGGATCGCTAATTGACTAATACTCTACCATTATATATTTTCACCCGAGTCACCTATCCTGAAAGACTGAAGGTGTTAGCACTATACGATGATGGACAGGATTGCGTTGCTACAACCGATGTCATCTACAAACAGGTTTCAATAATGTGTAAATACAATCGTTGATATTATGTTTTTTTTTAAATGGCAAAATTGCTATATATCTAAACAAAAAAAAAATATATATATATATATTCCATAGAATTGAATTAAGATAGCAATTCATTCATATAACTGAGTTGCTAGAGAACGAACACATTTGCCTAATTTATAAAAAAAAAATACTAAACAATGATAAATAAAATCTCCAAAGTTACAGCATCGCATGCGTACATTTACACATAAGCTATTAATTTGAGCAATTATTTGCTCAAATTCAAACAATGATAACATCAAAACACATAAATAATTCAAAACATATCTTCCATTGCACTGTATAATATTTAATGTTCTAATTTAAATAATTATATATCAATCCAAATATTTTTAATATATTATAACAAATCTATGCACGGGCGAAAATACTAGTGTCTACAAATATTATTATCATTAAAGAATATAAAAAAATATATGATGGATGCATATGCATGGTAACAATAATAGAAAATATAACGGAAGTTATAATGGTAAGAGTATTTTACTATATGGGAAAAGATAACGGAAGTTATAAGAAAAATTACTATACTAAAAATAATAGTTAGTTTTATTTTTATTACTAAAATAGGCATATTATAATGACCGTTATTATATAGTTTTATAATAACAATTAAATTTGATTTCATATAGATTTTAATTAATAGGGATTTAATAGTTATTTTAAAAAATATATATAAATATTGGGAATATGTTTTTTGCGTATCGCGCATATAAAAGAGTAAAAGACTAGTATCTATCTACAATTTTAATAAGAGCCAATAATGTTAAACTCCTAATGGGAACTAAAAAAATATCGGTATAACAGTATGCTAATAAAGATTGTACTTTGTGTTTTTTTAATTGTACAACCCCAAATTAAATCCCTAATAATCTACCCTCATTCTTTTTAATTTTACCAAATTAGATCTGTCAAATTAAACAGATTCTGTTAAGTTGAAGTAGCGGTGGCAATTTTGTAGTTCAATGAAAATTGGATGGTAGTTTCTAACTTATGGTCTTCTTCAAAGAAATTAGGGCAGCAAAACTACAAAATTCTCTGTGCCGACTACCGACAATCGAAAGTATTTCATCTGTGCCGACTACCGAAACGAGAAGTACAGGCCGAACCAGGTTTTGTTTTTTCTTTCTTTTATTTTCCTACTTTCTTTTATGTGCAATTTTATTTTATTTTTTAATTCACAATTTCATATATTGCCATCACAAGCAATGTATATCATGATTTTGTGTTTCTTGTGATCTGTATAAAATATAAACTCAGGGAATCTCAAATTAAGCATGCTATGAGTTTTTGTTGGAGTCTGGTATTCTAAATTTAGTATCTCTAAGCATATGTATGCACATACATGTGCTGCAATTCATAAGTTGGATTAACTAAGTTTACTATGTGAAACACAAGTGGCATGCATTCATGCTCATGCTTGTCCTTTTCTTCTTAGATCTCTTTCAAGCAAACAGTTTTGGGAGGAATTCAAAGTTGAGCTCGTGAGGATCTTAATAGCAGTAGCAAAATAATCATGAAACTGGGGGGATTGTTAACTGATACGTAACAATATGCCTCTTGATGCTTCATTGCTTGGTTCATGTTTGCAATCTGCTGCTTCAGCAATAGGGAAGAAAATTTATGTTAATCTGTAATATTCTTTAACTATAAAAACATGGGGAATAGATGTGTCCCATAAATTATTATATTATTATAGTGTACTGTTTCAATTTGGTTGCTAACATTTATTTTATGGTCCTAGATCAGTTAGAATTTGACTATGACTTTTATTGTTCAGATGCATTTCATGAACATGAATATGTAGAATGAAATGGGAGGAGTTACCATGGTGGATAGTAATGTAAACTTTGTTCATCACTGCAGTGTTATTATTGAGGCACTTAAGGTGGACAGTCTGCAGAGACTTTGTTCATCGCGGGAGCCAATTTTTCGGAGAGTTGTAAGATTATGTCTTTTTATGAAATATCTTTGTTCACAGAGCAATTAGAAGCAGGAATTATAGCAAAAACATGAATCCGTTGGAGGAAGTAGTGAAACACTATTGTTACATGTATCTTAAGAAAAATCATACCTTTCGTGTCCTTTAATCTCAATGTGTATTATTTTCTATGTATAGGTTAGTGAAGAAGTGCAACTTGCATTGGAAAACCTGGGCCCTGCCCGAATTAATGCAAGATTTGACTTTACATATCAGTGCTTATGGTTTTGGTTTGCCCCTCTTTATGAGGTTTATGTTGGTTCTTCAAAAGTGAGGTCCATCTTCAACAGCCTAAGCTGTTTTTTCTATTATTTTATAATACTTCGATTTTTTATATTGTTAGGTAATTTTTTGAAAGGTCGACCTTTAATCTATGATGACTAGCTCCAATATCAATACTCCCTTTTTAGGGGAAAAAATACTGCAATTGAGTTGGCGAAATTAAGGTAGAATTAGAATATAAATCCAGCTCTCAATAAATAAGGCATAGGGACAAACATTTAATTGAAAGTTCAGAAGATTTTAGCAGTATTCAGGTATCTTTAGCATTTCCCAATAGTAATGTAGCTCCTTTATATATATTTAGAGTTGTTATCTATTGTTCCCAATTAAATACTTCACAGATACCGTATGCTTGGAAGCATATCCTTGAGGATGCCTCAACAGAAGAGAAATTTGAATTGTCTTTGAAGGCAGACAACTCAAATACCCAAGCCAGATATTGGCTGTCAAAAGTGCATCTCAAGTACCACGCCCCCGACGCTTCTAAAGCCATGTAAGAAGTTTATTTGTTCACCATAAAACATATTTTCGATGGCGTTCTTACTTGTTCACCATAAAACATATTTCCAGTGGCACTTCTAAAGCCAGAGTACTTACTTTTGTTATAATTTAGCTATTTACAATTTCTTTATCTTTTATTAAAATATATAAGCACCGAGACTATTTTTCATATTTTGTTAGTTTAGCACTTTTTTTCTCGACTCTCTCATTATTATATGAATACTTTAACCAATCAAGGAACACTAATTTAAAAATATACATTGGGCATTAGTTAAATCGCGCAAAGCGCGTGTGCTAACTATATAGTAATAAGAGCCAATAAAGTTAGGCCTATAACTGGAACTAAAAAATGTCCGTCCAATTATTTGATGAACTGAATGTGTTGGTTTGACGGCCTAAGGCAGCCATTCGACAGGTCAACACTACCATAAAATTCTAGGTTAAATGAATAAATTGTTTGTGAGAAGAAAAAGGAGCAGAGTAACATTAATAACTTGAATTGCAAATCCCTTACAATGTGACCCCGGGGGGTTAATTTTTTACAAGGAGTTAGATCCTCTACAAGGCAAGAAGATGCAATAAATAACTAAAATTACTCTTTAGAAACTTCCAAAACCAGTGCATTAATTGCCTAAAATGAGAAAAGGAAGCTACTTCCCCGCCCAAGAAAACAATCTCCACGAAATCCAACCTTAAATGCCTCTTGGACACACACCAATTCCTTCAGCTGGGATAAGAGCACTCAACCTGGTACGCACTGATGTGCCAACTGGTTTCTCCACTTTAATTTCCTGTTTGATTTACACTTTTTGCCACATTGCATAGTTGACTTCGTTTACTTGTCATAATTTGTCCGATCCTTTTAAAATTTTGTTCTTAAAAAGTTAATAAATATAGTTAACATGTAATTTAATCATTCAATTAAAATAGTTACAAGAGAGGGATAGAAATTAAAGGTCGTGGGAGAGATATTGTTTTTTTCTTTTTTAGAACTATTGACTCTATTACAATGTAGTACTTAAATGTTAACCCTATCTTATTATATGGTGAAATGGAAAAAATTTAAATGAATGACTAGTTGTGACAACAAACAAAAACCAAGATTGTAATAAGATAAAAATCTATATCTATCTATATATAAAAGTAAAATCCTCCTAACCAAATTTATCCCCCAAAACTTAAGGGTATTTCAGTAATGTCATCCATTATTTATATATAGATATTATATACAATTAATAATACTAGTATTTGCACCCGTGCGTTGCAAGGAATGAATTTGTTATAAAATTTTAAAAATATTTATATCGATATACAATTGTATAAATTATAAAATCGAATATTATATAATATATTTGAAGAATTGAGTTGCACCGATTATGTTTTCTGATGTTATCAATGTTTGAATTCGAATAAATAATTGTCCAATTAATAGCTAACGTGTAGATATACGCATTCGGGTTACAACTTTAGAGATTTTATATATCAGTGTTTATAATTTGTATTAATTGGGCTAATTAGCTCGTTGTCTAGCAACTCAATTATATAAATTATTTATACAGAAGATATATTTTCTATGTAGATTAGCTATATAGCAATTTTGTCATTTTTGTATGTAAAAAAAAAAACATAATATCAATGGCTTAAATTATACATTATTGAAAATCTCTTTATAGCTAGACGACATTGGTAGTAGTAACAGAATTTTATCCATCTTCGTCTAAAGTTAAAACTATCAGACTATCAAGATGGGTGATTCGGAAAAAAGTAACATACAATTAACCGTGATTAAAGACTGATTTTTTCAGTAATAACTCAAATATTATATAGTGCAATTAAAGATATGGTTTCGCCCGTGAATTTGTTGTAATATATTAAGAATATCTGGATTGATATATAATTATTTAAATTAGAACATTAAATATTATATAGTGCAATTGAAGATATAGTTTGGATCGTTTATATGTTTTGATGTTATCGTTGCTTGAATTTAAACAAATAATTGCTCAAATTAATAGCTAATGTGTAGATATACGCATGCAGTGTTGTAACTTTGAAGCTTTTATTTATCATTGTTTAATATTTTTATAAATTAGGCAAACGTGCTCATTCTTTAGCAACTCAGTTATAGGAATGAATTGCTATCCTAATTCATTTGTATGAAAAATATATATATTTTTTTTGTCTAAATTGCTTTAAAAATTTTTATTTTTTTGTGTGTAGATATATAACAATTTTGTCATAAAAAAAACATAATATCACCAATTGTATTTACACATTATTAAAACCTCATATTGTAAACGACATTGGTAGTAGCAACATAATCTTGTCCGTCATCGTCTATAGCTAACATCTTCAGTCCATTAGAATGGGTGACTCGGGTGAAAATATATCATCGTAAAATATCAGTCAATTAGTAATATCATATTCATTTTCAACCAATTATTCTTTTTATTTTCCGTCAATTAATCAATTAGAATATCATATGCAATGTATTTTTACCTAATTTCAGTTTTATTTTTAATTGGTGATGTAGAATATTATTATTGAAATATTTCCGTTCCATTTTTAATTTACCTTTACTATTGTTTAAAATATGCATTTACTATTGATGATGTAGAATATTATTATTGAAATATTATCTTTTCATTTTTAATTTCCTTTTACTTGATGATGTAGAATATTATTATTGAAATATTTTCGTTCTATTTTTAATTTCCGTTCTTTTGTTTTAAATTTTGAAAGATTTATTGTGATATAATTGGTTCACATATTTCAATTATTTATTTTTTTTTAATTATTATAAACAGAAACGATATTGTACTAATTAATTTATGATATTTATCAAATTGTATTTTTTAAAAATATAAGATTTACACATATTATGAGGGGTTAAAAAAATATTTTAAAATAATTTTTTATTAGTATGAATTTTTATTTTAAAATATTTTATAGCAATCCAAACACTCCATTAGCCTCCCATAAAAAACTGATAAAAGAAAAGTCATTTCATTAAGGAAATTAAAATTAATTAAAGTAAATCAAATCATGCTATATTTATTTGTAACTGTATATTAATTTCATTTTGAAATTATTGGTTCACATATATGAATTTTTTTTTTAATTATTATAATTTATAAACAGAAATGATATTCTACTAATTAATTTATAATATTTATCAAATTGTAATTTTAAAAAATATAAGATTTACACATGTTATTGGGCGGAAGGGGAGGGGGGTAAAAGATATTTTAATTTTTTTATTAGTAAGTATTCAAAAAATAATAATAATTTCCAGCAACTCAAACACTCCCTTAGTCTCCCACAAAAAACTGATAAAGAAAAGTCATATCATTAAGGGAATTAAAACTAATTAAAGTAAATGTAATCATGCTATATTTATTTGTAACTGTATATTAGTTTGATGGGAAAATGGCACTTCTTCCCCCTGTGTTATATGCTTATAGCATTTTTTTCCCCTGAGTTATTCATGCATTCACATTTGTCCCCTCAATTATTATAAAAGTGGCGATTTTTCCCCCTGATAATATTAAATGGACATTTCTACCCTTAAAACAAATATTTTATTTATTTCTCTTCTTCAACAAATTATTGCTTATACGTAGGGATGACCACAGTTCGATTCGAACTGAACCAAACACTATAGCAATCAAATTAAAAAATTTAAGTTATGATTCATAACATAACCCAATATTGGGTTTCCGTTTATTAAAATCGTGAACTGGAAAAAAATGGATCCTGAACCGTGAACCGGAGGTTGATCAAATCAGAACAACAACTAGCAATAGCTTAAAATTAGAATTATAATATTTGCAAGTAGTGTATGTTTTTTTCCGCATTTATATTGACTCTCACATATAAGTATATATAATCGGGATTTGATTTTTATTTTGAACCGTCGGTTCACGATTTTGGATCCAATTTGAACGGTTGGTTCAAACTTTCTTTTAAAATTTTATTTTTTTATTTTTAAAATATTCTAAATTCAACACTTAATGTATTTTATTTTTTCAAATCGTGGTTATAATTTGTTGGAGAAGAAAAATAAATGAAATATTTATTTTAAGGGTAAATATGTTCATTTAATATATCAGGGGGAAAAACTGCCACTTAAATAATTTAGGGGGAAAAAGTGCTATAAGTATATAATAAAGGGGGAAAAAGTGCCATTTTCCCTAGTTTGATTTTGAAATCATTGGTTCATATATTTGAAATTATTATTTTTTCTTTAATTGTTATAAATATAAATGATATTGTACTAATTAATTTATGATATTTATGAAATTGTATTTTTTTTTTAAATGTAGT